TTCTATGGGGCTCGATGCCGGTGGGACCTTTAGAAAGAGGGAGCGAGAGAGGGATTGTCCTTAAAACAAGGCAACACGAGTACCTTTGGCAAAAGGGGAGTTCTGGGGCTCAGGAAAATTCATGGGATCACCTGGCTCAGCATTTGTGTTGGTGGGACATGGAGGTTGATACTAGTGGGAAGATCCCAATGCTTTTTTCTGAATTTGGATCGGGCGGAAGTTCAACAGGTGGTGCTTCTCCTCCCACCCACCTCCTGGTCTGGAAAGCAGTGATGGGGGGGGGCAGGGTTCGCCCGTCGTTTTTCTGCCGGTCCTGGCGCAACCCAGGAAGTCAAGGCGGAACTTGGGAAAGTTACTTTTGGGGAATTACAGCGCCAATGAGGTGTTGGAGTTGTAATTTTTAAAAACAAAAACAGGGAGTCCTTCTTCCCTCCCGCTCTTCCCCCCCCCCCCCCCCCCCCATCTCCCGTTCCACCACCGGGCGGCGCTCCGAAAAAAGAGAGAAAAGTTGTACATGGTGAGCCCGTTAAAAAAAAATCACGGGAGAAGGAAGGGGGGGGGGGGTCGCAAAAGAAAACTGGGGAGGCAGAATCCCCCCCCCCCAAGCTGGGGACTCCAGTTTGGAGGGCGGAACGCTGTTGAGTCACAGGTTTCAGTCCGCATTTTTTAACAAGGGTTATCCAGGGTGCTGAACTTATTCTTGGGATGGAGTCGGCGCTAGAGGTGTGCAGATTTGTCGTTTTGGACTACAACTCCCAGGCTTCCCCAAGCAGCCAGGAGCTGTAGATACACTACTAGTTGCCACCGTAGAGAAGTCCTATAAACTAAAACTCGGAGTGGATTCAAGTTCGCCTTCATCTCTGAGAATTTAAAAGCGCTTTGTAAATTATATGATACCCACTGAAAATAGACCTTGGTCTAGATGGGTGGGGTAGAAGACAAACAAACAAACAAACAAATAAATAAGTAAACAAACAAACAAATAAACAAACAAATAAATAAATAAATAGGCGAGAAAACCTGGGGAAAGTTGGAGGTGGATGAAGGATTTGCAGTGACCACCATTCTCACCAACATGTTTAAAAACCTTTCTAGATCTGTGCAGGCTTGCCAGGTTTTACCACGCAGTTTGCCAACTCAGCAAGAACAAAGAGATTGGCCTGTTCCTAGGCCTCGAGGAACAGTGGCATGAACTGCCGTAGTCACTGCTATGGACATTCATGTTAACCCCCAGTAATATTTGCAGATCACACTCCAATTAAAGCAGAGATGAGCAGCGTCTGGGGGCTCACAAGGGTTCAACCCTGGATCTGGACCTCCACTTCCCCCTACAATACTTTTTTTTTGTTTCTTACGAAGGCTGCACTTGGAATGTGGGTTGCATACAGACAATGACCCACATGTTGTCAATTCCATGTTAAAGGAAGTGCTAGTAAACACCAAATCATGGCTGGACTGGGGAAATGACTCCTGAAATATTGGGGTGAGGGGGTTCTCCCCTCCTGATCCATGAGCTGCACCAGAGTAACATGCTAGCTATCCTGGCAACTAGAGGCATCAAACTGCTTATGAAGTTGGTCGTAGCCTCCAGCTCTAGCAGGAAGAGAACCTACTAAAGCTTTCAAAGGTTTTCCTCTATTCCTCAAAAGAGATTCTGCGACTACTTTCTGTAGATGCAAGACCATGTAATCTTTGGGTAGCCTGGAGCATCATCCATGCCATTAGGGCAGAAGCAGAGAACCTTATGTTGCAGAGTTTTGAATTTCTGCTTAAATTCCTCTAATTACACAGCAGAAGTGCTGAGACTGACAAAGCAGAATTAGCTTCAGGTTCCCCTGAGCAGACCACCACTTTCTCATTAACTGGTACTTGCAGTCTCAATAGTTCACTCTGAGACATTAGTAGCAGAAAGAATTAGACAAAAATCATTTATTTACAGATCAACAGCAAACTGACAAAGCAAAGCAAAAAGCAGAGCAACTGCCCCGTAGTGCTTAAAGCATTATCTGGGCCATTGACAAATTTAATTATGCAGGCTATAGATTGCCTCTCCAGCAAGCTGGGTACTAATTTTATGGACCTTGGAAGGATAGAAGGCTGAGTCAACCTTGAGCCGGCTACCTGGGATTTGAACCCTGGATCATGAGCACAGTTTTGGCTGAAATACAGCAGTTTAACCACTGCGCCACAAGGCTCAAACATGACTGCTTTCAGGAACAGACCTCAACAGAGTCAACAGAGAGGAGGGGAAGCACTGAGAAAAGAGGTGGACTTTCTCTGAATTCAGAAGCTAGTGCTGGATAGATAGACAGTCACCCCAGCCTAGAATGGTCCCTCCAAGGCAGCATGCATGATTGCAAAAACTCCCAACATCTGAAGCCCTTTAGAAGTTGTTGAACATCCATCAGTCCTTGCCAACAGAACTGCTGGTGAGGAATCATGAGTGCTGCAGTCCAACAGCAACCATGTAGGAATGTTCCCAACCCCTGCCTTAGGTTGTGGCTTTTGAGTCCAGGGAAACTGCCAGCCATTGGCTTGGGAGAAAGAAAGCAGCCTAAAGGTTCATCCTGGTCTAAGAGTTTTAACACATGAATTGTTCCTGGATAGGAACAGAGCTGTTTCCATGCATGTAAAAGGCCAGATCCTTGCATGCATTAAGGGAATGCAGCCAGGTTCTTGGCCAGCACATCGTTTTGAAAACGCCCTTGTGTTGCAATTGACAGCTTTCCAAATGGAAAGAGATGGGATGGGAAAGCAAAGGATGCCTTTTCTTGGGACAGATGGACACACATCTTTCTGTAAAGGAGTCCAGCTGCACGTTACAAAAATGGAGCTGTGTGCCGTGTTAGTATTGTGACATGCCGCTTGGATCTCTGCCCTATCATCACTGCATGGGAGAGCTCTGTGACGAAGAGGGCTTTTCATACCAGCCTTCTGGTATCTACCATTTTCATAATTCCTTCTCCCTGCCCCTCGCAGGGCTGAGCCGCGAATATTTGCCAGGGCCGGCAAAAAGCACGTCTCTCCACCATATGCCAGCCTGCAATCAATTTATTTTTCATACAAACAAAATGCAGGTATGTTTGCTGCTGGGTCCCTACATTTCACATTAGGCGGGGGTGACATTTATAACTGATGGGGCCATCAACCTGCGTTGCTTATAAATGCAATGTGGTGTGTGTGTGTGTGTGTGTGTGTGTGTGTATGTTTATTTCCCTTTTTCCCTCTGATTGCTGGGATGGAAACAAAGCTTTCCTCTGTGCACAGCAGGCATGCTGTTGCTTAGAGGAGGATGGAACTGGTTTGGGTTCCAGTCTCAGGAAGGAAAATGGGGTGTGAGCAAAAATGTGGGGAGAAGGGATGAAAACAATACTCAGGATTCTGCATCTTCTTTCCAGCTCCCAAAGAAGCTGTGTGTGCTTTTTATCTAAGGGAGTGACATTTTTAGCTGAAGATTGAAATCCACATCGTTTCATACAGTGGCAAAAAGGAGGTTTCAGCACTGACAATTTGGTGTCCTCAAATCAAGAGTCTGGAAAGCAACTTTTAGAAAGCAGTCTTTATGCAAAGCAACTAATTATACCTATGGGTCACTGTTTTTAAAAAGTGTTTTCCATTTTTCAAAAGTAACCAAACAGTTACTTTTAGTTACTTTTTAAAATGAACACACACAAAAAACAGCCCTAAACACTACAAGCTGTTCCCCGGTGCTCCAGAAAGAGAGAAAGGGGCAAACAGCTATATGGGTTTTCTAATCGGCTTGGAAATTGAAGTAGACATAGGAGCTCAGGAAAGGAAGCAAAATCTATTTTTTCTCCCCAAGAGAAACTGGGAACAGTGGGAGCTGGAAGGGTGAAGACAAGCTCCAGATTTGATACAGTCGTGGGCATATGCTGCAGTGGAACCCCTACTCACGCCATGACTAGGTTCTTGTTGGCTTATCCTGGTTTGATGGCAGTGGTTCTTCAATAGTTGCTTGGCTTTAATTACACCTCAGTTTTCCAGAAATGCCCCAGAGTAAAGGTAGGTCAAGAGCATTGTGGGAAATCGAAAGTGTAGCCGGATCCAGCTGTTTTGTGCCATGTGGATGTGTTCCCCTAGAGTGAGCATCAGTGCTGGTGTCGTTCAGGGACCCAACACTACTAGATGCTGATGTTGCTCCTGCAGTAACGCGAAGATCTGCTGAATTCCGATTGGAGCAGGCAAAACATGGAATGCCCTCTTCAGAAGTGGCCCTCATAGAGTGGTGTAGTAAACCTGGAGCACAGCTTGGAAGCTGCTTGATACAGAAAGATTCTTCTGTGTCATTAATTCCTTTATCCGATAATGGCCACGTACCTAAGTTACGCTATGACTATAACTTCGTAAAAGACTCTGACACTGCTTTTATGGAGGAACTGGAACTTCAACTTACTTTTATCTTTACAGGTATGTAGCCTCACTAAACGGTAGTAGTGAGGCTACATTCCCTTCTTGCATCCTGATTAATTTGTCTATTGATGTTTAAAATTTTTGTTATATTTTGTATATGGTTATATATGTTGGTAGCTGCCTAGAGTGGTCGTTTGACCAGATAGGCAGGATATAAATACAATCAATCAATCAATCAATCAATCAATCAATCAA